TGTAAAGGAGGTCTTATTATATGTAAGTCATGTAGAAATGAAGTTTTTTTGGAAGCTACACGTTCCGCTTATATGTTATTCAGAAACGGAACAGGCAGAAGAATAATAAGTATTTCAGGAAATGGCCATATTGTTGACCATTTTTTTCATTCGAAAGCTTAGAAGAGATCGTGGAATTAATCCACTTATGCGAAAATAGTCCGTTTAAAAGAGGCACGTATGTTCTTTCATCTCCAGTCAAATTAAATCGTTTATCTTCAGGTAAGTTAAAGAAATTGTCAAAAGTCTCCGATTTCACTGTGACATTACCTTGGAAAAAGTTAATGTACACAGATATTCGTCAGATAAATATCCAATTAAAGCATTTTTTAAAGAGGTAACCTATTATGAAAAGTTTTTTTATTAACAACATGCGTGGTATCTAGCAGATATTTTGTCTGCTCGACAATGTCGTTTGCTGTTTTGAAGCACTTCTACATGTGACCTACATGGCCATCTTTCTAAAAACTAATATCCGAAATCTCGTTTTCTCGGTAGATGCTTTTTAATTATAAGTTTATTTAAAGGTTTTCATGTAAACGTCAAACAGAAGCGCAATTTATCAACTTATCAATGAAGGCACTAAAAATGAGCGAAGTGAAGATGGACTTTATTCCATGATATTCAATAAATAATAATCCACTAATACTAATATGTACAAAATATTTGAACTCAAGAAAAATTCTTGTTATATAAATAAAGTAGTTGCTATAGATTTTATACTTAAAAATATTTAAATTTATTGTACTAATTTAAAGCTATTTATTACGTCCCCAGAATCTAGGGATTAAAGAGGAACGCTTATTTTTCTTAACAAATACTTAGTGCTCCTTATTTTTTTTTTAATTATTTAATATGCCTAATGCTGCTCAGTATTATTTTTAGGTTTTCGTATATTTGTTCTTTCCGGTATGAGAGAAATAATCAAACTTTTACATACTTAGGCATGTTGCGTGTAGCACTCGCCATACTGTACTTATTTCAACTATGCAAGGGCAATAATTAAATGTAACATTAAGTTTCATATTATCTCTTTGCCATTAAGAAACAATCTGACAACTGTCTCGTTTTACTCTGCTCCTATTATAGCCACCTGCTGTATTTTGGTTCTTACTTGCAGGGAGAGAGAAAAATCTCTCTTTAGACAGCATTTTGCAGGATTACACCCATGAAAGCTGACTATTAGAGCACAGGGGGGGAGATAAAAAAACTGCCTTAATGTCATCAGGTACAAGGAAAAGTGATAAATCTTTGATGAACTTTACAATGGCAAAAAGATAGACAAAGGGATAATTAAATCCCCTGTAATTCATAACAATGACAACGTTTTCTCATCTGATAAGACAAACGCATTTAATTAGGAGCAAAAACAATAGAACATTAGAATTCATCTACTCTGGTCACATGCTTTCGTAGATGTTTTGGTAAAATAATGTTTTCTCCGGTCAGGCAGCAAGAGCAGTTATATTTTAACACAGTACGTAAAACCAGGTCATTTGTATGGTTATTAAACTAGCTACTGTCACAATGTTAAGGGGATTTGTCCATGTATTTTGCAAAATCTGTCTAAAAGTCTTTCAATTTTCACCTTCTTGAAATTATTTCCTTTAGTTCCCCAAAAAGAGTGACGCATTGCACAGTTTACAGCTTAAAGGACAAGAATAAATGACGAAAGAGCAAAGAACAAAAATTGTCTCCCTCCTTTAATTCAAATTGTTACGGGCTATAATTTTTGCTTAATAAAGAAAACATCTAAAAAACAGCATTTCCTAGTAGTTGCCACTTAAATTAAAACACTCTTTAGGGAAATAGAAACACTTGGATAAAATAGGAATGGCGAAATTATTGCTAGTATTTGCCCCCCAAGCTTTTTAAAGACTGTCTAGATAGCCATAGAACATCACCAGCTGCAGATTATGCGGTAACCTCCGTAAATTCTAGTGGATGCTCTAGATTGCAAGCACAGAACAGTTTTAGACCTCGAAAATAGCAGAAGCCTTTACTTCGTACGCTAATGCAACCTTTTTTTAACATTAGGCAGCTCTACAGTCCTCAATAGGAAAGGAATATGATACCTGCTCACTATACACGCTCTTCTGTCCCACATAAAATCTAAAACTCAAATTACCAGCACTCAATTATTTGCCATTGACATTTTGAGGAAAAAGAGCTTCGGAACTTGCAGCACAAGTTATCATTTGGGACTTAAGTAAGAATCCTAGTTCTAGTACCGTTTCATTTATCGATATATGTCTGCAAATCAGCCGTGAAACGACCTATCACGTCCTTAAAGTAGCCAATCTAAAGATACTATCGTAAGCATAATTCACCAAACGTTAGCTTGCTTTACAATTCCGATGGAAATAATAACTACATATATGCGCAAAAATTCGAGGTCCAGACATAATATTCCTTTCATCATCCCCTAAAGAGGAAGAAGCAAAAGGGGGTGATTTCTGGGACCAGGTTGTATTTAAGCTGACGTTTCAAAAGCTTTCTCGCTTTCATCGTCAGATCGTGGTAAACGTTCTCCTGCTGGTGTCAGTAAGTGTGTCCAAACGTGAGACTGACGCCTGATGTCCGTGTGTCAATCAATTGTACCGATTGATTTTTTGTGACGGCATAACTTTCATTTTGCGCGATACTCATAAAAAGAACTTGTAAAGCCATTAATAAGAAACTGAGAGAAACCCTCAGTAGCATACCGCGAGGTTCAATATTTTCTAGACCAGAAGAAGAATATCATATGCTCTTTTCCTCAACAACCGCTTTAACTCGGACTGCAGACACTGTTTATTAAAGAGCGTCCAATATTAAATCCTCTGTCACACTGGATGTTTAAGAATCTTGGATCTCACAAACGGTAGAATGGTGGAAGGCAGGAGACCTACTACTTAGTTTGACCGTCAAAGGCTGTTCAGGACGTCAAAGACATCACCACCTAACTGCACTGGGAGGGGGCTATTTCCGACGTTTTTGCTTGCAAACTATTGGTACAGTGTAAGGGAGGCCAATTCCAGTACAACGCCAAGGTAGACACATCTCGACAGAGATGAATCATAACCTAATCATTTGTTTACTACCCATTTGATAGGGCTGCTCGCTTATTTTTTTAAACTGATTGTCAAGAAAGTACATATGCTACACGCCACAATTACAAGGGCTCTGCGGAAAAAACCGTCTCTGATACGAGATTGGCTTAAGGAGACTGAGAAAAGAGCCTCCCTTCCGCCCCACCAATTATATAAGAAAGCAAGCATGTCTTTAAATTCGAGAGATAGGGAATGTCTTTTTAGAAAAAGACTCTGCTGGCAAGGTACTGAGGAAGGTCGAAGCAGCGATTTTTCACTGACGCCGAAGGAAAGCGATGGATAGCACCAGAAGCGGCTTAGTAACCAGTGAGATTAGTGAAGTTCTTTGATCAATCATATCTTCATTGTTGTATTTGTGACTTTCTGCTTGCAATCATTCCCAGACCGCCCCTTTTGTCACGCTTAGTCCTTGCCTTCTTCTCTCCGCTATGCGGCCGGTAATTCATGCAAAATGCCAAAATGTGCGAAAGTTGGATAATGACTCGTTAGCCGGCATTAACGCATATTCGTAAACTTTCAAATAGTAAAGATCAGTCTCAGGCAATTTGGATACGTAAAAAGTGTAGTGCCCCACGCCACGCATGCGTTCACATGATTGCAAGTCTCGAGCTACCTTTAGGACAGCCGCATGCCCCGCACGAACGCTTGTCCTATGCGGCACATTAATGCGCGTACACTAGTTTGTTGACCGTCAGTCCGGCTAATCCCCCTCATAGCCGACTCAGAGAGGGTTGGACTTAAGGTCTAACATTCTGGATACAGCCCCGTTAGGGAACGGACTGCACTCGTCCGAGATTAAAATTTTCTCCGAACTATTCCCATTCCTTCTGTACGGATAAAAATATCCCTCGATGGCCTCCTTCTTCTTCTCCTTTCCACTAAAAACCGAGTCCGAAGATTAAAGCTGTTGGGATTTTATCGATTAACTTATCCACCTGGGATAAAATTACTAATTGTTCGTTAAGAAATAGAAAATTTGCCTAATAGTACTAAAGTACCACAGACATAAAAATTAGTTACAAAATTAGAACAATAGATCTAAATATAATTGTCAGGTGAATTCGTAACCATACTGTTATCTTTACATTAAAAGTATGTTCCATTTGTTTAATTTGTGTATACGTATTTCAGGTATTGGCTTACAGTAACTTTAGGATCCTCCTTCAAATTCTGCCAAATTTTCGGCCATTTTCAGTGTCTTCAAGCTTTCGTCCATAAATCCAGATTCTGTTTGTTGGTTGCATTAAAACATTTATGATAATATATTTTGTAAAATACTTTACCAAAAACGTGACATTTTGCATATTCTAATGTTAAGGCTTCATTTTAAACTTTATTTGATAGATAACCACTTTATTAAGCTTTTCTCGCCTATTTCGGGATTCTCCCATTTTACAATGCATTCAAAGTAAAGGAATAGTTTAATTTTACTAAATGACATAGGAAATATTTTCGATAACAGGCTGCCTCTGAGGTCACCAAAAGGAAAGCCTACCGATCTTAAATATATTGAGGTACACAGGCCGTTTTTCTTACTAAGATGCTTACTCCGGATACATTACACGCATTAGATCAAAAAGCCATGACCAAGTGTACGCTTAACTACCATTTTCGAGGACGACTCTAGCATTATTTCCCAAACGGATTGTTCATTATCCAACATTGTTCATTGCGTAGGCCTGCTCTGTATAAAATCAATTCAAAAAACGCCAGCAACAGGTATTCTTTTTTTTACGCAAACCGTGACGTGGAATCAAAAGTCAGCGGAAATCGTTAGCCACATTTGAAGATGAATTTTAATCAAAATGAACAAAATAATTATGTTCGTCGCAGCGTTTAAGTCCAGTCATTGTCTCCCGTGTTTTGGCCTCAGTCATGGTCTGCATTAGTTTGAATTAATTTTTTTACAGCATCCTTTAATATGTGATAACGCCTATAGATGGGGACATGCTTTAGAAGATCATAGCGGTCGCTCAATTCTTTGATGGCTCCGATGAGTATGTCGATTTTATCTTGAAGCTCGGCGTTTTTTTCACGCAGCTTCTCCGTTTCACGGGCCAATTCCTCAGTGTTAAAAGCTAAAAGAACAAAAAAGCGTCGTATTAAGTTTATGAAGAGGAATATGTGAAATAAACAACACTGATTTGGCAAAAGGAACAAATTTAATTTACTGGTTACATGAAGTAAATTGTCATGCGTTTTACTGCTTCCAAACAACGAAGGTTGTGCAACGCAGAGCCATTATGATATATCCAGCTAGAACCGTCATTTTTTTCTCATATGAAAATTTCAACGTCCCCATTGAAGATGTTCGTCAGTTATCCCACACCATGGCGGGCGCATAAGCGGCTATCCCCGCGTAAATTAGTTTACCATGGTAGTACACTTGGGCAGAATCCATCTCACAGACCTTGGCCCAGCGTCAAGATGGATTTAATTAAACT